GCTCTGGTGCGCACAATCTGTGTTTTGTTGTTTTTCGTCTGGGATTCACTTGCCACAGTGAAATATGATCGGCAAACACTTCTGTACATTCGGGACCACGCGTGTGACGGGTCACTCGTTTTACCTGAACTGAGGTGCGCAAATTTCCTCGAGTGTCCCACTCGAGAGGTTGGTGGAGCACAGCAGGCGGGCCGCGGCGGTGGCCGCCAACAGAGTGAGGGGACTGGGCGTTCTCTCCGCGGTGTGGAGCTGGGCACCTCGAGTCGGTGAAGGAGGCGCAGACACCGGGAAGGCGAGGCGGTCTGCTCGTTCGTAGCCGCTCCTCCAGGACCGCTCTGCCCTCCATCTACCTGGCCAACGTCCAGTCTCTGCCCAACAAGACGGACGAGCTCCTGTGTCGGGTCCAGAGCCAGCGCAAGGCCCGAGACTGTGCTGTGTTCTGTCTCAGCGAGACGTGGCTCCATCCAGGCGTCCCGGACTCTGCTGGTCAGCCCCCGGGATTCACCGCTCACCGCGCGGACAGAGTGAAGGAGACCACCGGCAAGTCCAGAGGTGGAGGTGTGTGCTTTTTAATTAATCAGCGCTGGTGCACGGACACTCGAATCGTGAACCAAACATGTACTGCCAATCTGGAATGCCTGGTCTTGAGCTGCCGCCCTTTTTATCTTCCCCGTGAGTTTTCAGTGATATTTTTATGTGCTTTTTACATTCACCCACGTGCGGATTACAAAGTAGCCCTACAGGATCTGAGCGAGATCCTTCACAAACATGAGTCTGCTCATCCTAACGCAGTCATCATTGTTGCTGGGGATTTCAATAAATGTAATTTAAAGACTGTACTCCCGAACTTTTACCAACACTCAAGCTACAAGAGGAGCACATGTTCTGGATCACTGCTACAGTAACGTGAAGGGAGCTTACAGGTCCAGTCTCAGACCTCCTTTTGGGAAGTCTGACCACTCCTCTGTTCTCCTTCTTCCTTTGTATACTCAGAGGAGCAGGGAACATAAACCAACCTCTCGCACTGTGCAGTGTTGGTCTGAGGAGGCTAGCATGAAGCTACAAGGTTGTTTTGATGCTACGGACTGGTCTGTGTTTCAGTCAGAGGACGTCAATGAATTCTGTGACGCTGTGTCTGGATACATACGCTTCTGTATTGACTGTTGTGTCCCAAAGAAAGTCATTAAAGAACATTTTAGTCAAAACCCTTGGATGAACGCGGATGTGAAACTGAAACTTCATGAGCGTGCGTTGGCGTTTCAATCAAATGATACAGTTGCTTATAAGCTATCCTGTTACTCATTGAAACGTTCTATTAAATCTGCAAAGCGTAGTTACGGGGACAGGTTAAAGAGTTATTTCGAGGAAGATGACCCTCGGCGCATGTGGAACGGTATTAAAGCCATCACATCGTGGAAACCTAGCGCTGGGAAAATTGCATCTGTCGGCCAAGCTCTGCCAAATGAGCTGAACACGTTCTACTGTCGCTTTGAATGCGCTGATGCCTGTCCTACTGTATTCCCTGATTGTTTCAATCAAGGTACCTTCACCGTGACTCAGGAGGAAGTCAGGCCCGGATCCCAGGCCCGGATGGCATCCCTCCCTGTGTCCTGAAACTGTGCTCTGAGCAACTTGCCCCTGTGCTAACAGACATTTTCAACCTGTCGCTAAGGAACTGTACTGTGCCGAACTGCTTCAAAGAGTCGACCATCATTCCATTCCAAAACTTTTGAGTGGCTTGTGCTGGACTTCATTAAGAGCCAGATCCCTGTGAGTGTTGACCTGCTCCAGTTTGCTTACAGACAGAACAGGAGTGTGGAGGATGCCATCTCCTTTGCTCTGAACTCTGTCTACAGTCACTTGGACAATAGTAAATCTGTCGCGAGAATGCTTTTCATCGATTATAGCTCTGCTTTTAACTGCCTTGTCCCAGGTAAACTGATTGAAAAGCTCATGTCTCTCGGTTTAAGTGTTGCCATGTGTAAATGGATTTTTAGCTTTTTAACTGACAGATCTCAGAGAGTGAAAATCAATGACTGTTTTTCTGATGTTGCTTCTGTCCTTTGTACACTCACGATGGTGTGTCCTCCTCTAACTCAAACTTGATCATCAAATATGCTGATGACACCACCATCATCAGTCTCATCAGTGACAATGATGAATCCTCTTATAGAGCAGAGATACAAAATGTGGTTCAGTGGAGTAAAACTAACAACCTCCAGTTGAACGCATCCAAAACATGTGAACTGGTCTACGACTTCAGTCGCAGTAGTTCTCACACCCCTGTAGTTATCGACAACTCCCAGGTGCAGATCGTAGAGGAGTGCAAGTTTCTGGGTTTAACTCTGTCTAACGACCTGAAATGGGTTAAAAACACTGACCGGGTCGTTAAGAAAGCTCGTCAGCGTCCCTACTTCCTGCGGAAAGAGTATTACCAATAACTCTAAGATTCTGCTTAACTTTTATCGCTGCACCATTGAGAGTTTACTTGTTGGTTCTGTGTCTGTGTGGTTTGGAAACATCACAGATAAAGAAAAGAGAGCTTTAAACAAGGTGCTCCGCTCTGCAAAGAGGACCGTAGGCTGTGAGCTTCCTGTTCTGGAGGTTCTTTATAAATCCAGACTTTTAAACAAAGCTCTTAGGATTGTCAATGACTCTTCTGGCCACCCTGGAAAAGCCATGTTCCAGCTTCTTCCCTCTGGCAGAAGATATCGCTCTCTGAGAGGCAGGACATCTCGTTATGCTAACAGCTTTTTTCCACAGGCTGTTATCAGTGTGAACAGAGCACTTTAATGATTTGCACTTGTTTTGAAACTTTTTTAGCCGATCGATTTCACAGTGACATTTGTTTACTGTTTTATTTGTTTTATTTTTGTACTTTTAATGTTGCTTTATGTCTGTATTTGTCTGTGCACACTGGTGACTTTTGCTAATGTATTCCAATGTGGTGTTTTTTTTACTGCAAATGGCAAATAAACTGAACCTGAATCTGAAATGTGAAAATCGAGAAATCGAATGAAGGATATTCTGAGAGTTCCAGCAGCACATGAATTATACTTGCAATATCAGCGCAGTCTGTACATGACTTTTATAATATGTATTGGGGGAAACAAAATAAAAATGGTTTTGAAACTTGATTATTGAGCGGAAAGATCAAGAAATATTTTTAAGGGCAAACTTTAATGAAAATCGATTTAAAATCGAAATCGTCCAGAGCAGGAAATAAAATTGAGATTTTACTTTTTTGCCATATCGCCCAGCCCTAGTCACCACTGTCCTTGGACCGTGGAAAAACACTGAGAACCTGTGTCTGGTTCATTCCTGACAAACCCAGCGGGAAAAAAGAGAAACCTTGGGAAGGCCTGCATAGAGGGAGGGATCCACACCCACCAACACACTGGGGATAGATCCAGAACTCAGGCTGTAGCTCACACACGCATTCATCTACATTCAGACCTTTAGACCCCTCAGCTGTACTGCCGCTGGGGTCTTTCGCGTAAACTCTTGCCACCTGCACGGTCATGCCTCTAACATTCAACGTTCTCTTCACCCCATCTTTCCATCCGTACCTTGGCTGAACTCTCCGTCTAAAACCACTCATACTCCATTCATCACTTCGTCGATCTCTCTTCATCCATTCTCTGCCCAAACCACCCATTCATCTGCTCTACAGGCAGGTCACCTCACACACCTGTTCTCTCCACAACTGTTACTTTCCTCTTTCTATCCATCATAGCCACACCTCTTCTCCTTCTCATTTCATTTCAAACACATTAAACATCTTTCCTTCTCCCATGTTTCCGCATTTTACACCAAGGGAATCTACAAGCTATGTTTATTTTAAAATTATCAAAAGGATAAAACATGATTATTGATAAAATTACCAAAAGGACTGTATCTGTACTGAAAAGTTGGTTGAAGCAAACACTGCTTCTAAGCAATCTGCCCCAGTCAGCTGTGGCTACAGTCGTAGTTTAACACAACCGTATAGTGTTTTATGGAGTGAGTAAATAACGCCATGTGAATCATCTTTGAAAGTCCAAAAATGTTCTATAAAACCCAAACCCGTCTTATTATTATTGTTATTATTATCTCCACTCCTTCTACTACAAACATATCTCTAAGGCCTCTATAATGTGCCTCAATATCACTCAGCTTTCAGCTCGTGTGACAACCCTCCTCCTCTCCCTTACCACTTCAGCAATGCGATTAGAATTTAATTTTCATCATTTCAGTTTGAATTTCCCTTCTGCAAACAGTATTTCTGCCATAACCAACATACCAGCATAATGGAAAAAATATCATTCTACACCACACTATATACCTGCCCAGTCTAAGTGCAAGTGCCCTGTCTAAGTACAAGTGCAAGTGTCCAGCCTAAGTGCAAGTACCCAGTCTAAGTACAAGTGCCCTGTCTAAGTGCTAAAATCAAACAGTAAGCAATATACTCACGTAAACGTAACATCCTATAGAGTGCCTTGGTCTTTCATGTTTTCAAATCCAAATACAGTACAACCTTTTGTCTTCGCAGATATAAGTCCATTTTGCATATCGTGTTTTCTTTCAGCAAGAGCACCCACATTTTTGAAAATAATCTGGCATGAAAATCCAACCTATAAAAGAAACAAATGGGCTCCGACCCCAGAATCGCGCAGTCATCGTCGAAGAATGGCTGTTTTTAATTGCCACTGTAATCCATGTCAATTTGCTTCTATAAATATTGCTGTAATCTTGTTAAGTAGTCGTGGTGGAGAAGAGAGAGAAAGTGTGTGTGTGTGTGTGTGTGTTTTGGCTTGTGAAGGCAAGATAACTCACATATGCATTTCTTTTGAAGTTTCATTAAAAAAAAGTTATGGCTCGTATAGTTAGACTCGCTCAAAGTTTGTGTGTCAGACTTGGCCTCGGTGCACAGCCTTTCCAGCCCACTCTGACCCGGGGTCCTGTAACCGATCAAGAAGCGAGGCTGCCCCGAAGACTCCTCAGATGTGATTGGCTACATATCAATCAAGCTCCATGACTTTGGGCTCCCGGAGATTAATTTTAGCAGGACGTGGGAGCTTCATGACCTCAGAAAGTGCTTGTACCTACGCTTAAGGAGGGCAATAGTCAAAGAGGTTTCTGTCGGCTGTGTTCTGTGATATAGTTAGTAAGTAGTCTTTTTTTAATGCTTTTAACGTTTATGTTCTAGTAAAAAAACTTTGGTTGCCTTGAATAAAATTGGATTGATTGATTGGTTGATCCTTCACTGCAAAAAGTGAGGAAAAAGAAGTCGAAATTAGTCAAGAACTCTTTCTATTTCTTATTCCATGGAGGCATTTCTTGTATTTTTTTAAAACAAGATCATTTTCTTTGTCCCACAAAATTTAGACTAGTTTAGTTTACTTGATTTTTGTGTATTTATCTTATTTAGATACTTAATTTAAATAATATAATTTTATATGTTTCAATAAAACTTAACAATTATCATGATCCACAGACATAACTTTGCCTGAAACAATAATAATAATAATAATAAAAATAACTTCTAATTGCGGCTATTTTTCCTTGTTTTTTGAGCCAGTTTTGAAATCCTAATATTATTCTAAAAACTTGTAAAAAATACACAATGTATACTTTGATATTCAATCAAAACAACAATATATGGTATTCGTGCTATTGCAGAGCTAGTGTCAGTGAGCCCAAAGCGAACAGGGGCCAAAACCAGTCAAACTTATAACCAATTATGTTATGGTTATGAAAGTTGAAAGTGGTTTCTAGAGGTAGGTATAGATACTTTTGTTGCTATGGAAACAGATGTAAAGGAGGAGGCCCCTTCCCACAACAAGTACAAGCCATGTTGTTATTGAAAGAAACAGGATGTACTGTACTTCTTTTTCTACAGATACATAATCAATTTTTACTTTCCCTTGATCGATTAAGGAGGAAAGTAAAAGTCAAAACTGAAGTGTTTTTTTTGGGTCTTAACCTCGTAATTTCAAGTTTTAAAAGTAAAAAATGTGACTTCCTGTGCAAACTTAAGCACCCACAACAAATGTATAAAAGTAAATGTGAGAGAAGTATTTTGCCTTTATCCCTGCACAGCTTCAGCCGCCCCCGCTGTGTTCCCAGAGGTCTCCCATCTCAGAACTAACCAGGCCCCACACCGCTTAGTTTACAATATCCGACGAGATCAGGCTACAACACGTATGGTAAGTACAATCTCCAATGATCTCACCAGAAAATAATGAACATATTGTGGCAACTTTCAAGCCTCAGTTCTCGAGTAGTAGTTTCTATCACAAAATGCCACTTGCTGATGTTCGTACGGAAATATATTTATCTAGCGCATTTCACAGACCAAGGTCACATAAAGGGCTTTACCATTTTTTGGGGAACCAGTCATTTCCAATCTCTCCACAATGCATTAACTCTCTCAATACTTTCAGACCTATTGTACATGTATAGGGAAACCGGAGCACCTGAGGGAAACGTACGCATACACAGGGAGAACATGCAAACTCCACAGAGAAAGGCCCTGTCTAGAAGTGGATTTAAACCCAGAACCTTCTTGCTAAAGGAAGATGATAAGATAACACCGGGACAACATTTATGGACCAATGGCTCTATGTGTTTTTATCACTGTTGTTGTGATTCAGGGCTTTACAGAAACACTTTGAGATGAAATGAAAGAAAAGAAGAACGATACACACTTTGATGAAGTCGCCGCTGCTGCAGTCGATGTTGACATCGGACAGCTCCACACTGATGACCTCACTGGGCTCCGCGATCAGGAACGTGGCGCAGGCCAACTGTGAGCGGGACGCCACGAACAAGAAGGTGCCCTCAGAGGAGAGCATGTCCAGGCAGCCTGCAGGAGACACACGTCTGTGAGAGAGCTGAGAGTACAGAGACAGAGACACACATGCACACACGCAGAGAGACACAACACACACGAACAAACACACACACACACACAGAGAGACCAAGACACACAGACACACACATGCACACTCACGCAGAGAGACACACAGAAACACGCAGAGACACACTCACACAGAAAAACAGAGACGCACACTCTCCCAGAGACACACACGCACACACCTGCAGCTGAGCTCATCAGCCTCAGCTTCAGTCACACACCTGTGCTCATGAGTATCACATCACGACTGCATTCAAACAGAGCCTCTCAGTCCTTGTATCAAGCTGCTGTTCGTGCAGCAACCCACCTCCTCCCATAACCTCCTCTTCAGAGGAGAATCATGTTATCGGCTCAGTTTCCTTCGCCACCAGGGTTTAGGCTCATACAGATGTCATGCAGTATTTCAGCGTTAGTCTTTTCGCCGTGATTCATAAAACAGTCTGTCTGCCGGGTTTAATCATCTAATCAGGCAGTTACACTATATTCATGCAAAAATGCCAATAAATATAATTCTTATGCAATTGTTGTCTGAAATTTGAATTTTCTTAGTGCTTTAAAATGGAAATAGTTATCTGATAGTAAATAAACTGCATTTCTAGTTTCTTTATTGTTATAATTCAATGTAAACTAAAAATGTAGCCGTTTTTCAAAATGGGAGCAGGAAACTAAAACTAATAAACCTCATTTTGTGCAGTGAAAAAAATAATGTTGGAAAAACACAAACTTAAGTCATTTGCATATATCTTGATTGTCCCATGTGCAAACAAGTAGATTAGTATTCTTAAGTTCAGCAGTATATCTCCCCCTATTTTACAACTATTTAAGAAGCATTTACAGCTCCGGTACTTTCTGGACTATTAGGCGTGCCTGTGTATGAGACGCACCAACAACATCTTAAAAGAAAGTAGATTTTGTTCACATATAGGCCGCACTTGAATATAAGCTTATTTTTCTAATGTCATTAAACAAGGGTACTATAGCTAATAAAACTGTATTTTTATTGTCTTTCACAATAAAAATACACACATTAGCTGCAACACTAAATAAGCCGCAGGGTTAAAGAGAACAAGAGAATTGTAGTAGCTTAGAGTCCTGCGGTCACGGTACTCCTTGTGCTCTCCTTAATGTGACCCTACTTTCCACTGTCCATTTTTAACTGTACAACTTCAAGTGCCCATATGAATAAAGTGTATTATTATCATTATTATTATTAATATTAATATTATACTACTACTACTAGCAGGATTATCGTCATTATTATTATTATTATTATTATCCACAGGTTGCTTCTGTTCCATTTGTTTATATTAATCTGGTTGGTCTCCAGTGGGAGGCTGTGACCATGAGATATTTGAAATGTTTCCTGGAGCGTGTTTGGGAAATAAAAGTCCTGGATGATAAGGTGAAACATTCCTGAGAATAAATAATTTATATTTATGTTCCGGGTTTGTGGACCTCACAAACTCAGAAAACCTGCTTGTTTTCAGTGACAAAACAAGAGGAAGTGGTATAACTTATTATAACTCACTAAAACAAATGCAGGGGCTCATCAAGAATCTATCTGTCTGTAGTTCATGGTTCTATAACAGTCACAAGTTTTCACATGATTGAAGAGGTTGTGGTTAACATCTGTTATTGATTAAAAATAGAGTTATACTGCAAAAAGTGATGAAAAAATAAAAACAATTTTCAAATTTGGCAAAATGGATCTAAATTTGGACATATTCTGTCTTCCCTAAAACAAGATTTTCCAATGGGACAAAGCTAAATGATATTGTAAATATATAAGAAATGTCTCCCTTGGAATGAGAAAATAAATCAACAGTTCTTGAAATAAGACTAAATACCGTTGTCCTATTGGCAGAATGTGCTCAAGTTCAGATAAAAACCACTCAATTCAAGTATTCTCATAATTTATCATCTTTTGCAGTGTACGTACCCGAGCTTTAACACAAGGACTCCCATTCAAACAAACTGAATTCTGAGAAATGTAATCCAAACATTGTTTAGTTTTCCACAATTTCTTTTTTATAGAAAAAATAATCACACTTCCAAATCTAAACGCTGTCAAATTGACTGCTGCAGTGATAGTTCTAGTATTGGACAGATTGGCCAAAGGAACAAGCAGATTTAGACTTATTAAAAGTGAAGTTGCCTTTTGATAAAAAAGTAAATATACTGTGCCAACATTTTCATTCAATTCAATTCATGTTACTTTTGTGTAGCCCTAAATCACAACAACAGTCACCTCGGAGAAATATAGAATGTTGTTGATTCGCCAACAGCAGATCAGAGAATCAATCCGACACATGTACAAAAAGGAGGCATTGATCCATAAGGAGCGGGACGACCTTTGCCCATATGTGAATAAGTGTCTTAAATGTCCACATATTTTAGATTAATTTGAAAAAAAGGGAAAACTCAAATAATTAAAAAAAGTACTTTAAGATTTGATTAACAATTTTGATATGTGTTTCAGATGTTTTTATTCTACAGTTACTTACAACACCAAAATAACTCAACAATAATAGTAATATTTCCCAGCGCGTGCGTGCGTAACGAGAGGGGTCTGTGCACTTACGCAGAGGTCTTCGGAAGATAAAGTCCTCTGCCTCTCGCTTCTGCTCCAGACTCAGCAGGGAGTACAGTCCGTCCGCAGCCGAGTCGTTCTCCTGGACACACACACGTACACGCACACGCACACGCACGCGGTCAGCCTCAGGTCGCGGGACGGTAAAGGTCACGCGCTCTTACCTCTATGTACCGACCGAGTCCTGTGCGTGACGCTACGGACAGGAGGAAGAGGAGCAGCTGTGCGCGCGGAGCCTTCATGGTCCTGGAGGAGTGAGAGAGAGAGAGAGGGGGAGAGAGGAATACTGCTGTGAGAGAGAGGAGCGGGCTTATATAGTGAGGCCTGCACACACACACACACACACACACACACACACACACACGCACACACGCACACGCACACGCACACACAGCACCGGGTCAGAGAGGAGCACCGCGCCAGACCGTGACGAGGGGAGAGGAGGAAACGCGTGGAGCGAGAGTAGAGAAGCAGTGAGTCTGCAGTGAGGGTCAGTGATCTACACAAACCTGTTTGATTCTATTCAGATACAAAGACTGCAGAGGCAGCACTGTGTTTTATTCCAAAGAAGAAACATTTTGCATTATTTTCCCCCATTAGGATTGAGACAGTTTACTTTGTCATTTCACAGCCGTGTCAAACTCAGCCCCAAGAGCCAAATTTGGCCCGCAAGGCTAAATTTTGTGGCCCCTAAAATGATTTTTGATGATCAATCGAACTTGCAGCATTGATGGTAATGGACTACCATGGCATCTTTTATCACCTATTGTCTCAGATAAACCTGCTCGGCCTGTTTACAGCCTATATCTTGCCAAGGAGAGGTGCGCGTCACTGGCTGCTTTAGCGGTGCGTACGGGCCTCAGTGGGAAACACTTTCAGCGCACGCCATCATGTGAATCTCACAAAGACACTCTGGTCTCGTTTGACATGCTTAACGTCAAAAACAATACTTGCACGGACCGGCACCAAAAAGTACCCCCCCCCCCCCCCTCACCAGGGAATCAAACCGGCAGACCACTGCAGGAGGCACATCACTGTAGTTAGTACAAGACAGCATGACACATGTGTGCAATAACAGTAACTTTCTTCACACTGACAGCATTGAGAACGAGCCAGAATATCCAACACAAGCGTTCAGGATGTTCTGACCCGGTTCTGAGCTTTAATGTGGTCTACAAGTTTCAACAAAACGTATTCAGGGGACAAGCATCCAATTACATTGTTTCTCAACAGCGTGTTCTGTTTTCTTACCTGGAGGTGAGGCAGGACAATGGGCAGGACATGATGCCGTGGTGAAGCCTAGGATTAGCCGAGCTCCGGCTAAGCTCTGTGGCCGGGTTTGCTCATGTCCAAAGGGTGTATCTTGGTCCTGGCTTGTCTGGTCCTTGTGGTTTTATCTTCAAAATAAAGGTTTGTTTGGAATTGAATATGAATATGGAAATTAGTTATTCTTTGCTTCGCAGCTTTGAATGTCCCACGGCCCGATACGGTCCGCGGACCAGGGGTTGGGGACCACTGGTCGGGGACCACTGGTCTTGATGATCCACCCGGAGGAAGAAAATCCTATTGTACCTTTAATCACGTTAAAAAAAACAAAACATGATTTATTCTTTTGGCCCTGACCAGCTCCTATCTCTTTTTGAGCTCCTGACCCAAATGAGTTTGCCCCTGTTCTACCCAGTGAAATAAAACCCTAAGTATAAAATAAATGGTGAAACCAGAACGAAGGGTAGAATATGTTTTATGCCTGTAACTCAGTATGCTGCCACCAGAGGCAGAGGTAATAATATGCCTTTCACATGTAGGTGGTGCCACCTCTGAAGATAAGCAGGGCAGGGCCTGGTTAGTGCTGTGATGGGAAACCTCTGGGGCTGCAGCTGTAAAGTGCCAAACTTTCATTGTTTCTTTGGGCAAAACACTTCACCCACATTGTCTAGAATGAGTCTGGTGTGTGTGTGTGTGTGTGTGTGTGAAAAGGGCTGATGGCCAGTGGCGGAGCCAGAGGGGTAGCCAGGGTGGCCACTGCCACCTCTAAAAATACCCTTGCCACCCCCAGTGCCCCCCTCGGAAGACGGCAATGTAATATTGTTAATCTTGAGAATCTTCCGCACTTTTTCCGCCAAAAGCTAAAAATTCCCACGGTTTCCCCCGTCTGTGAACGCACCCTGACTCCGTCTGGAGCCGGTGCTGTATGCTAATGCTTTTCATTGGTTGTTGGACTCAGGTGTGCCCAAGTCGTGATGAAAACAAAGAGGTAAGTTAGCGGTGCAGAGCCAACCGTTTACATTTGACACAAAGTATAGACACACGTACTGCAGCGCATTACTTGTTCAGTTTGTAGAACTTTTAGTGTGTGTGTGTGTGTGCGTGCCTGTGTGCGTGCCTGTGTGCGTGCCTGTGTGCGTGTGTCAGCGTGCCAGTGTGTCTGCGTGTGTGTGCGTGCCTGTGTGTGCCAGTGTGTCTGCGTGTGCCAGTGTGGGTCTGCGTGCCTGTGTGTGCCAGTGTGCGGGTGTGCATGCGTGTGTATTTTCTATTATTAATTGCCCATCGTATCATCGCCCTCTTCCCTTTAGTGTAAACATTAAATGAAAAGGAGGAAACATTGCCTACAGACCTTTTTTTGTTAGGAAAAGGCCTGTAGATCAGGATGAAATCTGAAGGTCAGACTCGGAGGCAGTATGTTTTGAGATGATGAGGAATTTGTTGTGTTGTATTAAAATATAGCTTATATAATTGAGTTTCAGAGAATGAGAGGGTGTCGCAGACAGGTGCAGGATTGTCTATTGGCAGAAGGCGTTTTTTCACACTCAAAAAAAGAATAAAAATTGCTATGGATGATGTGCAGTCGCTTAACCCCAAACTATTTTTGAAAGAAGAGCCACTGTTTTCATTTGGCAGAACCTTTGAGTCAGATATAGAGGACGTTAAGCATGAGGTACATCAAACTGGTGGATTCTTGGGAGGAAAAATTGGATTAGAGAGTCCCTATTGGACTTCCTTGTCTTTTTGGAACGTTTAAAAAGTGTTTCATGAGCTTTTGAGTCTGGCAAAGATGTTTTAAATACCTGTCAGTTCTGCGTCTTGTGAAATAAGTTTCTCTGCCCTAAAACTTATTAAAAACCATCTCAGAACTATGGCAGATGATTGAGGCGTCTTGGTATCCTCAGTGTAGAGTCAAGGAAGGCTCAGGACTCAATATGGATGAGTTTATCAACATCTTTGCTGCTTTACACCAGAACCGCAGGAATTTGCTAAATTTGTTAAAAGAAAAATGTAATGCAATGTTTGAATTATGTTATTTTGCACTTTTTTGTTCAGACTACTATTTAAATACACTTTTTTGCTTTGTAGTTTCCAAGTGTGCTCTCAGTTCAATTTAAAATTAAAAATAATGACAAGATTAAGATTAAAATGTATCGTTTAGCCAGTTTTTGTGTGAAATAAAACTTCGGAATAGTATAAATGTGGACCCCTTAAAAAAACCCTTGCCACCCCCTGGCCACCCTCTGTTTAAAAGTCTGGCTCCGCCACTGCTGATGGCACAGAGTGGTTGTGCAAATTTCCCTGCTTCAATGACACTGTACCTTTAAGAACAGTTTGCCCCTCACTGACATGCGCACAGGAGTCCAGGTGGGCAGTCTGCTGTAGGAGGGCAACGAGTGAAGAGCGTGCTCTCTCTTAGCTTTCTCACATCGTGTTGTTGTGCGTTTAATGACTATGTGAGTATGTCCACACCATTATATTGTGTAGTCCTGTCTTTAGCTTGCATTGTGTACTTAGCAGCATATGTTTGTAGTTCCTTTTCATCTCTTTGGAAACTTTCCTGCATGATCGCCATTAACCATGCGGTCCACTGCGGCCTTACGTCATGTAGCACACTTTAGCGCCCTCTGGTGGACATACTTTGTAATAACATCAAAACTGTATCCAGAGCCATTTCAAAGTGCAACAATGATAATTATTCATTTGATGTTGTGTTGTACGTTGTTGTACGTTGTTGATAGTGTTTAATTTTATTCATATCAACATTGTTAATGTATATGCATGTTGTGGTGTACTTTGTAGGCTTTATAATAATTCCAATGTTACATTTGTGTGTTCACAGATAACCACACACACACACACACACACACACACACACACACACACACACACACACACACACACACACACACACACACACACACACACACACACACACACACACACACACACACACACACACACACACACACACACACACACACACTCTTGTTTCACGCATCCATCCCAACCTGTTCAAGCTGCAATAAACCTTTCATTCTACTACTCTGGATCTGCTGCAGTCTTTCTTGCCGAAGACTTAAGGGGCGTTCACACCGGACTTAACTTCGGCGTCAAAAGCGTCAGGTTTCCATTGAAAGTGAATGGTGAAGCGCGTCAGGTGAAGCCGAGAGCCCCGGCGTCACTTGACGCGCGTCAAAAGCTTCAAGAGTCGCGCGTACTACGCGCTCACTTGAAGCTTTTGACGCGCGAAACGCTCGCGTATCACAACAATCCCTTTGACGCCGAAGCTGAGCAAAGCTGAGCTTTTGAAGCTTTGACGCGGGCTTCAACCAATCAGGAGACGAGGAGCAGCAGCAGCAGAGGGTCTGTCTCTGTCATGAAGAGAAGTCATGTATCTGCTGCTGTTTTATTGTTATTAGTAATATTATTTGTATGAGTAGTAACATTCTGAGTAACAAAAATCATTGTACACATGCTGTGTAGTAAACGTAGTTTATTTAAAATAAGAACAGGCTGACGATGGGTCTGGCTCAGAGCAAGGCAGCTCCGGGCGGGCGAGAGCCGCGGAGAGGCAGGGAGAGCCGGGGAGAGGCGAGCGAGAGGCGAGCGAGAGGCGTGGAGAGGCAGGGAGAGGCGAGCGAGAGGCAGGGAGAGGCGAGCGAGAGGCAGGGAGAGGCGAGCGAGAGGCAGGGAGAGGCGAGCGAGAGCCGGGGAGAGGCGAGCGAGAGGCAGGGAGAGGCGAGCGAGAGGCAGGGAGAGGCGAGCGAGAGGCAGGGAGAGGCGAGCGAGAGGCAGGGAGAGGCGAGCGAGAGGCAGGGAGAGGCGAGCGAGAGGCAGGGAGCCGGGGTTTGAGAACTCAGACTGGGCAAGTAACATGCGGAAGTACCGCTGAAAGCGAAACTCCTCCGTACGCAGCTCCTGGAGTAAATGACAGAACTCTGCAAACACTGCAGCCTCTCAAGTCTGTGGTGAACCCAGAACATGTTTTGTGGAAGCCCTACAACAACGTTATTTTGCTTTAAATAACAAATAAAGGCTCGCTGCTCATTGAAAAATCCACCGCTGTCCTGACTACAGGCAACAGAGAAGCTCCTCCCACCGGCGTCAGGCGCGTCACTCGCGTCAAAAGCTTCAAGCACCAAAATGACAAAACTATCCCGGCGTCAGTTGAAGCGCGTCAAAAGCTTTTTGAAGCTTTTGGTCTGAACGCGCCTTTAGGCCGGACTTTTGGACCCCAGCATTCAAATACAATATAATCTTTTACAAGTGGTCCTTCGAGCCGGACGTCCAAGAGCTGCGTCATGGCCGCATCCAGAGACTTTTATGATGAGCAGCCACTACACAGTCCCCGTCCCAGCAGAGTGCGTCGCATTCCCGGACATCTGGAGGACTATGAGGTTGGCTTTTCATTCCAACGTCCACCACAAAGCCCCGAGAGCTGGTCAACTTCATCCTCTCATGATGATGATGAAGACAGAATTCAGCATTTGGCGTCAGCTTATCAGGCACTCGGTCGACAAATGAGGGAACTTCAGACGGAAATGAGCAACGTTCGGCTGACACAAAGCGCCCAACCTGCCAAGCATAGATATGCCCAGGAACAGCAGTACAGCAGCATGCCACAGCTCCAGCCTCTTCAGTCATGGCATGCATCAGAACGTTCAGGGCATTCTTCCCCCATAGTACCTTTGTCACCCATAGCTCCTGTGCAGCATCCTCCCCCGACAGGGCAAGCTAGTGTTTCAGCACCAGTGACAGCTCCTTTACTACCAGCAGTGCCTCCAAACTACACAGCAGGTATAGTCCAGGGAGCAGAGACCGGTGAGTACTGGCCACCGCCTCCTCCTCCAGTAGATCCCGCTCAAGCAGCTCTGTTGCCCCCTCTGTACGACACCTCACACAGAAGTGTAGTTGCACCGCATGTAGTTGCTCCTCAAGGCACGCCCTACAGCGCACCTGCTCCCTCACATCCATATAGTGCACCTGTCTATTATCCACATAGTAGACAGCAGTATGC